GAATGGTTGGAATCCCTGTTTTTGTAAAAGTTGTTTTTTAAATGAAAAATTTGTTGAAATGCATTAATTATAGTTTTATAGTGAAAATATGAAAATATTATAAAACTTATATTCAGGATCGGGGGTGGACTTTATTTTTTGTAAAAGTTCTTTTTAAGTGAAAAATGTGTTGAAATGCATTAATTATAGTCTTTTGGTGAAAATATGGAAATATGATAGAATTAAATTTCAGGGGGAGTTGACTCTATTTTTTGTAAAAGTTCTTTTGGATGTAGAAAATGTGTTCAAATGCTTGAATTATAATATTTTAATGAAAATATGGAAATATGATAAAATTCATTTTCAGGGGATTGGAATCCCTACTTTCGTAAAAGTTGTTTTTTAAATGAAAAATGTGTTTAATTGCTTGAATTATAACATTTTATGAAATGATGGAAATAAGATAAATTCATTTTCAATAGGAGAAGAATCCCTATTTTATAAAAGTTCTTTTATTGTGCAAAATGTGTTCAAATGCATGAAGAATTATAGTCTTTTGATGAAAATATGAAATATGATAAAATTCATTTTCAGAATGGTTGGAATCCTGTTTTTGTAAAAGTTGTTTTTAAATGGAAAATGTGTTGAAATGCATTGATTATAACTTTTAATAAAAATATGGAAATATGATAAAATTCATTTTCAGAATGGTTGGAATCCCTGTTTTCGTAAAAGTTGTTTTTTTAAGTGGAAAATGTGTTGAAATGCATTAATTATAGTTTTATAGTGAAAATATGAAAATATTATAAAACTTATATTCAGGATCGGGGTGGACTTAATTTTTGTAAAAGTTGTTTTTAAGTGGAAAATGTGTTCAAATGCATGAATAAGTTTTTGGTGAAAATATGGAAATATGATAACATTCATTTTCAGGGTTGGAATCCTACTTTCGTAAAAGTTGTTTTAAGTGGAAAATGTGTTTAAATGCTTGAATTATAACATTTTTATGAAATGATGGAAATAAGACTAAATTCATTTTCAATAGGAGAAGAATCCCTATTTTTATAAAAGTTCTTTTTTGTGCAAAATGTGTTCAAATGCATGAAGAATTATAGTCTTTTGATGAAAATATGGAAATATGATAAAATTCATTTTCAGAATGGTTGGAATCCCTGTTTTTGTAAAAGTTGTTTTTTAAATGGAAAATGTGTTTAAATGCATTGATTATAATCTTTTAATAAAAATATGGAAATATGATAAAATTCATTTTTAGAATGGTTGGAATCCTTGTTTTCGTAAAAGTTGTGTTTTAAGTGGAAATGTGCTGAAATGCATTAATTATAGTTTTATAGTGAAAATATGAAAATATTATAAAACTTATATTCAGGATCTGGGGTGGACTTAATTTTTTGTAAAAGTTGTTTTTTAAGTGGAAAATGTGTTCAAATGCATGAATAAGTCTTTTGGTGAAAATATGGAAATATGATAACATTCATTTTCAGGGGATTGGAATCCCTACTTTCGAAAAAGTTGTTTTTAAGTAGAAAATGTGTTTAAATGCTTGAATTATAACATTTATATGAAATGATGGAAATAAGACTAAATTCATTTTCAATAGGAGAAGAATCCCTATTTTTATAAAAGTTCTTTTTATTGTGCAAAATATGTTCAAATGCGTGAAGAATTATAGTCTTTTGATGAAAATATGGAAATATGATAAAATTCATTTTCAGAATGGTTGGAATCCCTGTTTTGTAAAAGTTGTTTTTAAATGAAAATTTGTTGAAATGCATTAATTATAGTTTTATAGTGAAAATATGAAAATATTATAAAACTTATATTCAGGATGGGGTGGACTTTATTTTTGTAAAAGTTCTTTTAAGTGAAAATGTGTTGAAATGCATTAATTATAGTCTTTTGGTGAAAATATGGAAATATGATAAAATTAAATTTCAGGGGAGTTGACTCTATTTTTGTGAAAGTTCTTTTAATGTGGAAAATGTGCTCAAATGCATGAGTTATAGTGTTTTGATGAAAATATGGAAAAATTATAAAATTCATTTTCAGGGTTGGAATCCTACTTTCGTAAAAGTTGTTTTTAAATGGAAAATGTGTTTAAATGCTTGAATTATAACATTTTATGAAATATGGAAATATGATAAATTCATTTTCAATAGGAGAAGAATCCCTATTTTTATAAAAGTTCTTTTATTGTGCAAAATGTGTTCAAATGCATGAAGAATTATAGTCTTTGATGAAAATATGAAAATATGATAAAATTCATTTTCAGAATGGTTGGAATCCCTGTTTTTGTAAAAGTTGTTTTTAAATGGAAAATGTGTTGAAATGCATTGATTATAACTTTTAATAAAATATGGAAATATGATAAAATTCATTTTCAGAATGGTTGGAATCCCTGTTTTCGTAAAAGTTGTTTTTAAGTGGAAAATGTGTTGAAATGCATTAATTATAGTTTTATAGTGAAAATATGAAAATATTATAAAACTTATATTCAGGATGGGGTGGACTTAATTTTTGTAAAAGTTGTTTTTAAGTGGAAAATGTGTTCAAATGCATGAAATAGTTTTGGTGAAAATATGGAAATATGATAAAATTCATTTTCAGGGATTGGAATCCCTACTTTCGTAAAAGTTGTTTTAAGTGGAAAATGTGTTTAAATGCTTGAATTATAACTTTTTATGAAATATGGAAATAAGATAAATTCATTTTCAATAGGAGAATCCTATTTTTATAAAAGTTCTTTTATTGTGGAAAATGTGTTCAAATGCAAGAATTATAGTCTTTTGATAAAAATATGGAAATATGATAAAATTCATTTTCAGAATGGTTGGAATCCCTATTTTTGTAAAAGTTGTTTTTTTAAGTGGAAAATGTGTTGAAATGCATTAATTATAGTTTTATAGGAAAATATGAAAATATTATAAACTTATATTCAGGAGGGGTAGACTTAATTTTTGTAAAAGTTTTTTAAGTGGAAAATGTGTTCAAATGCATGAATTATAGTCTTTCGGTGAAAATATGGAAATTTTATAAAATTCATTTTCAGCTGGGGGGTGGACGTGATTTTTTTGTATAAAGTTCTTTTTGATGTGGAAAATGTGTTCAAATGCATGAATTATAATTTTTTGATGAAATAATGGAAATGAGATTAAATTCATTTTCAAGGGGGTGGAATCCCTTTTTAGTAAAAGTTGTTTTTTTAATTGGAATATGTGTACAAATGCATGAATTATAGTCTTTTGACGAAAATATGAAAATATTACAAAATTAATTTTCAGGGGTGTGGACTCGATTTTTCGTCAAAGTTCTTTTTGATGTGAAAATGTGCTCAAATGCATGAATTATAGCTTTTTGATGAAAATATGTAAATATGATAAAATTAATTTTCATGGGGGTGGAATACCTACTTTTGTAAAAGTTGTTTTAAAGTTGAAAATGTGTTCAAAAGCAAGAATTATAGTCTTGGTGAAATAATGGAATATGATAATATTTATTTTCAGGGGGGTGGAGTGAATTTTTTGTAAGAAGCTCTTTCTGATGTGGAAAATGTGTTCAAATGCTTTCGTTCAAGACGAAACATCAATTTCATTTTGTCTTGGTCGAAGTAAGTTTTTTTATTGTCACATTAATATACATAATTTTCGTCGATAATATGAAAAAACATTTTTAGTTAAGCGCTTCTGACATCACTACGCACGGTCTCATTATAATATGAAATCCTCAGTAACAAAAGCTGACCACGACACACTTTACGAGAACGGGGTCGATACCTTCAATGCAACAAGCCCCTAGCCTGGATATAAATACTAGTGAAAGCATGGTTTATACATATGTAAAGAATTGACGCTCAACATTGAAAAAGCATATTGAAAGCAAAAACGAATAATAAATTTATATGGGAAAACTGAAAATGTTACCGATACATAGGTATTTTTTAAATCATTGTTCGTTGCCTGACCGTTATTTTGAGCTCTGTTCTTCTTGTTTAATTAACTCAATTATTAACAAGGTATCGTTATCTTAATGCATTTAAGAGTTAAGGTATCGTTTTCACACATTTCGTATTAGTTTGCACTCAGACGAATGAGATGTTACTCGTTGGAAAAAAACTGACTGCGGTCGAAGCGTGCAACTACGGTTTGGTAACAGAAGTTATTCCTCAAGCCGAAATTGAAAAAGAAATCAACAACAGAATGAAATACATGGCTGCGTTGCCGCCGAAGGTAGCGCAAATCTGGACTTTAAAGTTATAGCTTCGTTTCATTTAACCATACAATGCTTCTCTCCATTGCAGTCTCTCTCAATGTGGAAGAAATTATGTCGCTCAGCTGAGCTGGAGAAACTTCATGATGAGAGTAATATAGAATGCGATTTGATTGCTCAAAGATGGGTCTGGAGGAATGCGCGCAAGCAGTGATGAATTTTTAAAACGAAAATAAAAAATGTAGTTGAAACATTAAGTTGATTTTTGTTGATGAAATGTTCCATGCATTTTCTTTCTGTGTATGTTATTCAGTTTAATAAAAACCATTTTCACCAAAGTGTTAAGCGTACAAAAGCATCTGCGCAAACATCTACTTGATGTCACGTGACAACATGTTAATTAATGGCAATTATTTTTTAACAACTGCATCATTTTTCAACAATTGCGCACGAAAGAAGGTTGTTGCGACTAAGAAGTCCGTTACGCCAGCAGTAAACACTGAAGTCTCAATGACTTGAACGATACAGAACGAGTGTTCGAAATTTTCCAGCAAAAGTTTTTTTGCTATGTTTTGGAACTTGATTCAAAACGCAATTTTTTTCCTCCAAAGTAAAGATTTTAAAAATCGTGGTTAAATGAACGAATATGTTTTGTTATTCAACTCAAGTTACGAATGATTTACACCAACAACGCTACAAATTCCGCTGCGTAAAGGTTACAAACGGATCATTGGGGACACAATATCCTATTTGTACAATAAATATTTGCACGCGCCATAAGTCTGATCGTAAAATACCTTGATGGTAAATCATTCCTGTAAGCTCGTCCACCATCTTCTTACGATGCCATCCAAAATATCATCGTTGCTGATGTACTTTTGAAACAAATCGCATTCCTCGTGATTTTTATCCTCAAGTTCTTGTATATTACTGTTGACCATCAACGTCTGTTTCTCGAAGGCACTACAATATTAAATATGCTGCTTTACTATTTGCTGACATGGATTTTTTAAAAGTTCAAAACTGTAAATGTTTTCATCATCTGCGACGTGAACGTCCATGAATAAAAATAGAAATTTATTGCATTTTCAAAGGTCCCGTGTCCCTCTCCCTCTAGTTGCTAAGCTTCGCCCACCCTCCCTTTCCTTCTGCTTTCCAATAGTGTTCAATCCTCTCCCTCGTAAAAATAGACACACAAACCTGTCTAGAAACTAGTGAAAATCTCGCCAAAAGTGAATTGAGTTCCTTCTCGAAATGTTTGAAAGACAAAAGTTCTGCAATAATTCCGCGTTTCCTTTGCCATGTCGCAATCGAGTTTCGTGTTGCATAGAATAACAGACATTACCCGATTTAAAGGAAATTCACCGTAAGACAAAATGAATTTTTTTTAAAGCATCTCGGTTCTTTTATAAAAACAACAATTATGTTTCACGATACACTTTGTTTGAGGCGAGGGGGGGTAGGGATAGGGAGTAAAACATTTTGTGGGAACTTAGATAAAGCTATTCGTAGTTTTAATAACTTTTCAATCTCACAGTTAATTTTTAACACCTCAGAACATAACACATCCTCTCAGGTTCAAGAAAAGAAAACATTAAAAGCTTTATATAAAGTGATCAATAGGCGTGGATACAACTCATATACCTAACGATTCAAAATATGACCTTGTGCCCAGGCCTCTGTTTAATATAAACAAGTCACATGTGCCTGTGAGTGATTAAATAAATGAGGTAAAGATAGAGAGCAACATCCAACTGAAGGATAACCCCACTCCACAAACTTCGTTTGAAAAGTTGCCCTTTAAAAACACGAGGAATATGTCAACTGAAATAAAAATTACGTAATGTTGTACTGAGGGAGTCACTGGGGGTGAACAAAGTACTCAATTATATTAAGGGGTGTGCGTAAAAAGGAAAGTATGGGGGTAAAGGAAACTGAACCCGTCAAGGTTTAATATCGCCCCGTTAGCAAATAAACTTTCTCACTTTGGGGATTTTTGTCTGAATGTATTATTGACGTGTTTATTGCATTCATTGGCGAAGTAAATTGACCAATTTAAAACGACTCAATAAATGTTTGACATATGATATTAAAGAAAGTTTGGCTGTTTTCAAAATTATATCAATTCCTTTCTTTTTTCCACAAAACTCTCAAAAATGACTTAAATGTTAGTGACGTGACGGTATGCGCAAAAAACTCTTTTGAGACAATCGCTATTTTCCATATTAAATATAACTCTGAAATTAAACACTTGAAAACACAGATGAAGTCAGACCAGCTAGGATGAATAATTTTACTAACTCAATACAATTACCTTTTTTTGAAGCAAAGACTATATCAGACAGTGCGATAAGGGAAAGACCAAATCCAGCTGTTGGACCGTTTACCGAAGCGATCAAAGGTTTAGGACACGTGAGAAGAAGTCGTAGGTCGTATTTACTGCAAGTCTACACCACAATTTGAACAATCTGTACCTCTATGCAATTAACAGCATAAATGTGCCATTCAATAAACAAACCAAAAATCAGTACGATCAATAAAAACCATTGAGATTTTCACAAGAACAATAGCGATAAATCAAGAGGCATATAATCATTTATCACAAAACCTTTTCTATTGTTGATGTTGGCTATAACCAAACTTTTTCCATCTTTTGTAGCTACTTCCTTTCTTTATATACGCAACTTTGAGCAAGGCGAAAGGGACCACTTCAATACCCCAGTTCTATCATCACATAAAGAATGTTTAGTGCAGAGTTGATCTTCTGCGAGTACCAGTTGACCACCTTCATGTGGGCTCATATAATAATGGGGCCCCGTCATCATTATACGAACAAACAACTGACATCCACAAAGAATCCAAACTACAAAAAAAAACATTCTTGGCCATGAGTCACGATGACACATGAACAATGAAAAAACTAGTAAGAGTAATTGAAGTGAATGACAGAGGTGGTAAAGGGATTTTCACAACTCTATCCATCTGGGATGTACAATATGAGAAAATATGAAATAATGATATGCAAAGTAACAATGCATCAGCAAAATAAATTTATTATGAAATCTCATGCATTTCTTTCATATTATATTACATTGACTCCCAAAGACTATAGTTCCTGCACTTAACACCAGGCTGCGAATTAACGGTGTGCAATGTGCAATTTGCACATCGTTTTGGCTAAAATGAAAGTAATTGCACAACACTTTTTCAAACGATGTGCAAAAATATTTTTTCATTAATTACTATCACATATATTGAAAAAAAAATTTTTAAAATCTTAGGCCATGTAATTGGCCATGTTGACATATTGTCGTCAAATTGAAAAGGACGTCACTTTGAGACTGGAAAGTCTGTCAACAGTCGACATACTGGTTGACATACATGGTTTTCTGTGCCAGAAGTCACCTAAGAAACTGAGAGAGCTGATTAAACTAGCTGAAATGTATGGAGAAACTGTACATTTCAGATGTAGGCCGCAACTACTTCACCTGATGCCCAAAAGCAGAAGATAAATGGATTCCTAGCTAAATGAAAAGACGCTCGTTTCCCAATGTATGCTTCTATCTTTGTGGACATTATTAGTCCTTTGCGTGTTTTGTCTCTTGGACTACAAACTGACGACAATGATCCAGTTAAAGCTTTAAGGAGAATCAAGGAATTTGACTGGACTATGGTCAAGCTTCAAGGTAGTACATTTGGCAAAGCTACTTTCGATAAATTTAGGAAGGATTGCAAACCTACTGGTGACGACAAGAACCAGATTTCGTATCAAGGTGTTGTGCTCACAAATTATCCCCGTGCACTAAATGGAGCTGCTGGACAACGACAAGAGTGGATAGATGCGATTATCCTCTGTTTGGGCAATCGCTTTAGTGATCTTCAAGAGACACCAGTTTACAAACACCTTTGTCCAATTATAGACACCCAGTCTTGGCCAGGTGAGGAAATTAATTTGGTGAGCTATGGAGACGAATCGGTTACGCTACTTGTCGACCACTTCATTCAGCTTTTGAAGCATAACGTATGGGATGTGTCGAACGATACGATGCTGACAGAAGAATGGAGTGGGCTTAAGTTGTTGATTCAGAGACGTATGGCAGAGCTATACCATACTTAGATGTTTGGGCTGCCATTCTCTCTTCACCAGTTAGTAAGGAAAAGTTTTAAGCGTTCTTAACATTGTGGAACTGTTATTAATTACGCCCATCTCTAATGCTGTGGTTGAGCGAATGTTCTCAACAATGGCCAAAATAAAGCCACACCTACGTAACAGAATGTCAAGAGGAAGATTGGACAGTCAGCGAATTAGTGAGGAGGGTCCATCAGTGGAAGAGTATGATCCAGCTCCCGCAATAGAGCGGTGGTATGAACAAAAGAAACGAAGGATTGGATATGGAGGCCATGCTTACCCAGAGAAGCGAAAGAAGAAAGTCGATACGTCAGAGGCATCAAGCTGCAGCAAACATTCTTATTTTCGGACCAAGACTCGTCAGAAAGTAACTAGTCGTGTACTATAACATGATAACTTGTAAAATGTATACGTTGATAAAATGTTATAAAAATATTACGTTCTAAAAATGTTAATTTAGTAAATAGTGCAGTATAATAATTACTGTGATATCATTTGATTATGCCTCTGGAGAAAAATTTTTGTCGAAAAAATTTGCACACCGTTTTTTCTCAACTAATTCGCACCCTGCTTAACACCATAAGACTAGAGTTCATGAACATAACTCCTGACTGTTATGGTCTATGCCCCTAAATCACAAATATTATAATGAATCCACGTAACTCACTAACACTATACTTCCTGCCCCTAACTCATAAACACTATAATTCACACAATTAGCTTGCAAACACTATATTTCATGCACCTCATACTCAAAAACTAGAGTTTATGCACTAACTCCAAAGATTACATTTCACACACCTAAGTACCAATAATTAAATACAATAGATTTTATGAGATGACTTTCATCGCAATACCTTTTTTAAACGTATTCCTGACGCTAGCAAACGTGAAAATCAAGTTGTTGGTGAATATATCTGCTAAATATGATTGAAGAAAAACATCGAGCCAAGAATCATCTAAAGATATAGAAACATAACATAAACTTACCACATCGCTTTCATTAAAAACGGCTTCTTCACCAAACTTCAAGAAACGAATTGTGACCTTGCCGAAATATAAATAGCGTTATGTTGCAAAGGAAGCAAAACGAGAAATGTCCGACGTCAATATATCTCACATTCCAAATTTACTTTACACGTTTTTCTGCCAAAACTGCGAGTCGCTCTTTGTTGTCTTCACCTCATCAAGCAAACATTAATTATAATTTTGAAAACAGCAATTCTTGGTTTTCATGTGTGTCTCAAGGGAATAACAAACAAAGAAAGGGCATCCACCATGTCGCCTAAGAGCAAAGGGAATCCAATGATATTATTTTGTAAGGAGTCCATCAGCATGATGCATATGAAAACCACCAATACTTTCCATAAACTAACAAATTCACAGTTTGAAAACGGATCGCTTTCTTCTATGCCAATTGCATGTTAAAAGTTCATTGCCAATGGCTGCTTCATCAAACTAAATATAAAAAGTGTTATGTTCAAAGGAAGCAAAATGAGACATGTGGGAAGTCATTATCTCACAATCCAAATTTACTTTAATTGATAGATATGATGCGAACTGTAGAGACGACGACACTTTTCACTTTATTATAAAACACATGTAATATAGACAAAAGAAACAGCCACCATGGGGCTGCTGCAAAACTGCAACGTCAATTTAAATTTATTGCAAAACCAATCTAATTCATTCATATTCATTACACTAGTTTGAATTCATAAAAAAAATTTAAATTTTCGATCCGTGCCACGCCTTAACAGCTTTCTCTAATCTTCCAAGTTCACTTTTTATTAAGCATTGATATGTGGTTAATCTCTTTTACCGCGAATTTTGTTGTGGATGGACAACTTTTCGCATTAGACAGAATATTTCACAATAAAAAAATCGTCTGTGAAAAACTATACTTTTAAAATTGTAGTTGTTTATTCCCTTTTATGCAAGAGAAACCGCAAGTTATTAGTAGCCTTACAGATCGTCTTTCTCAATCAGTAAACCATAAATTTTCTTTTACTGCTCAATAATCTTTTAAAACGGTGTGCGAACAGCAAGCAGTTTTAGATTATGTTTTAATTAAGCCATGAAAACCGCATGAAATCTTTGTGACGATCTATAAACATCTTCACACGTTTCTCAAGATCACATTCAGTTTCAGTTCAAAATTTATATTTTTCTCGTTATTATAAAGCATCTTGTAAGTTGCGCTATTCATAACAGATTAGCTTTCCGCTAATTGCTGCCATGCATCAGCGTGGCAGCACACTAATCTTGACATGTCTCGGCCCATTCCTCTACTCGACCTATATAGAGGTAAAATCTCGATTTGTGTCGTTCTGTCTGTTAACATTTCCGGGGATTTTACGGAATGAGGGGAAGAACAATCACAATAAGGTAGAACCTTTCGGAACTCCTGTCAGTTTCTCTTTGATTTTAAATGTCTGGAATCCGAATAGATATGCGGCCTAAACAACGTTATACAGTAGATACCAAAATCGAGTGATTACCGACATCAATTACACATATCTCGTTTGGCGAAAACACATGAAATCGATTCACCGTGCCGTATTTAGCCAGCTCGGTTCACATTTTTTATCTTGCGCTCTATGCTCAGACGGTGAGCAAAATATAGTGTAAGCATGTATTTATTTTCGTTAGAGCTTTTACTATTACTTGAAATATCGGTGTGGATTTAACAAAACGTCAAAAATAATTTAAACGCATGGTGCGAGTTCAACCATGAAATATGAATTATGAATATGATGAAACGTTTGCTCTTTCCGATAACTATACATGATTTTATCGCAGTCGCACAGAATCATCGGAAAAAAGGTTCTATCAAAATGTTATAAAGGAAATAATGGAAACAAAACTACAGTTTTATAATATTGTCCGTTTCTACGTTTGTAAACATGCGGACGATTGTTCGGTTGAGTAAACAACGTATCATACTTTTAATCAAAAAGCATTTTAAAAACTCAAAAGAATCAAAACAATGAAGACATTTAAAAGAATCAAAAAAATGTTTTCATTCAAAATGGCAAGGAATTTATCCTTTAATTTTATGATGAAAACGTATGACTGACGAGAATCGATTGAGCATTGAAGCACTCACCTCCATATAAGGTGAACTGTGCGTCGTTTGTGCATGCCGATTGGATAGAAATTGGAATGCTATGATTAAACGATCGTGACTAAAACACCACACGAGTACATACGAGTAACATACGAGTACATACGAGTGACATACGAGTACATACGAGTAACATACAAGTACTTACGAGTAACATACGAGTACATACGAGTGACATACGACTATTTTCTGGTCAACAAATGAGAAACAACACAATTTCTTCAATACATTGATATTTGCGTTTATTTTTCCTTGTATTTGTGAGGACTTTGGGGCAACCATTTGATGGATTTAAATGCTGAAAAGGTATTTTACTTTTATACTACATTCATTTGTATGTTTTAGTTGAATTTGTTATAGATATTTTGTCGATGCGATTTGCCAGTATTTGAGCGCTTTTTGAAACACTTTCACCTAGGAAATACATATTTATGAAAGCGATTAAATAAACAACGTATAAATAATGCTTTCAAAACGTGCTACATGAAATAAATTTACATTATATATATTTGAATTAAATGAGAGTTGCACTGTTACGTATAGTCCTGAGACGGACTGTTTTGTTGTTGTTGACTGACGTTTCGACAACCTTAGCGGTAGTCATCTTCAGAGTCAAAATGAATGTATAATCGCTTTCATAAATATGTATTTCCTAGGTGAAAGTGCTTCAAAAGCGCTCAAATACTGGCAAATCGCATCGACAAAATATCTATAACAAATTCAACTAAAACATACAAATGAATGTAGTATGAAAGTAAAATACCTTTTCAGCATTTAAATCCATCAAATGGTTGCCCCAAAGTCCACACAAATACAAGGAAAAATAAACGCAAATATCAATGTATTGAAGAAATTGTGTTGTTTCTCATTTGTTGACCAGAAAATAGTCGTATGTCACTCGTATGTACTCGTATGTTACTCGTATGTACTTGTATGTTTCTCGTATGTACTTGTATGTTACTCGTATGTTACTCGTATGTACTCGTGTGTTACTCGTATGTACTCGTATGTACTCGTGTGGTGTTTTAGTCACGATCATGATTAAACATGGCGAGTAAACCATGCATCATATTGTATTGGTTGTATTGCAAAAAATTGATTTGCGCTAGACTCAGGTTACAATTATCTCTCAGGTTACAATTAATAAGGCGAATGAGCTTCACAAAAGCAGTCTAAAAGAAAGTGACACAAATCAAACAAGAAATCATGCCGTTTTTATTTCAACCTAAAGAACAAAATCAGAATTGTGAATTGTCTTAAAATATTTAAGCAAACAAAACTTTAAGCTTTTGACAAATATGAAACATTTTCAATAGGAACCATATGTCTTTTCAAAGTTAAAAAACTTTTCAAGGTTAAAATCTGTTCAAATGTCCACAATGTTTACATCAACCATGTGGCTTTTTACAGAATCATATTTTACAAAATCAAATTTAAGCTCCGGTTAACATGATTTAATTGTTATTGGCCGAGTTCTAAATGACAATATGCAAATTTTTGTAAAATGAGCTTTGAAAACTGTTCATCCAATTATCCCATTTTGAAATTAGCATAATTATACATACATACAGTGTTACTTCTTGCATCTACTTCTATAAATTGATTTATATGACAATTTGAAAATAAAAGATGACACAATTAGCTTGTCTTTATGCAATGACAAAGTATACGAGTTGTTGCGGTTTCTTGCTGTATTTTTATTTTACCATTCATTATTGTATTGTTTATGGCAGATGATAAATGATGGAAAACACGCAATAGCAGTTTCCAAACTGTTTTACCTTACTTGGTGGAGGGGCAGCACTTCCCTTGCGATAGTAACTCCTAGTAAATAAGTAATAATGAGCAAAGTACATACAACATGTGGCTTTCAGCTTCGTAAACATTATCTTCGTTTGTGGCGTTGACAAAACTACAATGAGAATTTCTTGTTTTAAAGTAATATTATTACTCTATAAATCTATTTATTGAGGCTTAAATAATCGCAATGATTGTACTACCTTGAAGCAATTGAATGAAAATTGATGAGAGACTTGCGGCTTCTTGCGAGATGCGTTCCCTTGCTGCAGAGTATTTGTCCTTTGTTGCATATTTCAAATGGTTTTGAATAAACGGAACTTTTAATGAACTGAACCAGCAGCCGGTGGAAATGTCGAAGAAAATCTTCCACCAACAATAATTAAATACAATAGATTTTTATGAGATGACTTTTATCACAATATCTTTTTAGACGTATTCCTGAAGCTAGCAAACGTGAAAATCAAGTTGTTGGTGATTATATCTGCTAAATATGATTGAAGAAAAACATCGAGCCAAGAATCATCTAAAGATATAGAAAAATAACATAAACTTACCACATCGCTTTCAATTTCATTGATAATGGCTTCTTCACCAAAATTCAACGAACGAATTTTGACCTTGCCTAAATGTAAAAGGAGTAATGTTACAAAAGAAGCAAAACGAGAAATGTCCGACGTCAATATAACTCACATTCCAAATATACTTTCCACGTTTTTCAGCGAAAGCCGCGTGTCGCTCTTTCTTGTCTTCATCTTATCAGGCGAACATTAATAATAGTTTTGAAAACAGCAATTCTTGGTTTTCATGTGTGTCTTAAGGGAATAACAAACAAAGAAAGGGCATCCACCAATAATTAAATACAATAGATTTTTATGCTTTGCGTAACGAGGATTTCAATATTATAGTGAGACCATGCGTAGTGATGTCAGAAGCGCTTAGTTAAGAATGTTTTTTCACATTATTGACAAAAATTATGTATATTAATGTGACGATACAAAAACTGACTTTGACCAAGCCAAAATGAAATTGACCTTTCGTCTTGAACGAAAACATTTCGGCCGTTATTTTGAGAACCAAAGAATGGGTCGAGGACGTTTGTTATATGAATTTTTAAATTGACGGCATTCATGCTGTGATGATGAAAAGAGTTTTGAATTTAAACGAGGATGTTAAAGGAGGAGGTTAATGGTGTTAGGAGGATGTTAAACAAGAAACCAACTTTCGTCCAGCATCAATATGACAGGGTTAATTGAAAGTGGACTGGGACAGATAGTAGATGTGACGTCCTTTGCATAACCCATGATCTTTGGAAAGAGGTACGAACATTGAGCTCTATAATAACTGGAGGGGAAACGTCAACCAAATTACTATAAATTATTAGCGCGCGGCCGCGTGGTCAAAAACATGGCGGATTTTGGTTGTCAAAGTCAGCGGAAAGACGCGGGCTCATAAAATGAAATTTTTTTCGCCCACCCGGATTTGACAACCACAATTGCGATTATATAAAATTTCAATGCGAAGCACAAAACTTTAGAAATTTTATTTTAAAACATGCTGCAAACTTGTTTGGTGTACGGATGCTGAAGTAATGCCAGAAAAGAAAACATTTCATGACACCGGTGAGCAACGTAAGATTGTTTACCATTTAAAGTGTTCAGTGTTTTGTTTTAAGTCAATACTTGAAGTGTGATGGTATATATTTTGTGAATGTTTTTACTTCTAAGTTATAATTTAAGTTATGTATATCCAGTCTTATTTGTTCTTTACTTAATCGCTTGCCAGACGAGGCAAAGCAACCAATTCTTATCGAGATACGCATGTCTTAAAACTCCTTGTTTCAACTGACTTTACCTCCAAGAAATAGAGGATTTTTTCATGATATTTTTCTGAAAACATGAAGCAAATATTAAGAACAGAGCTGTATTGAAATCAAATGCAGTGCAGGATTAATTAATGAACTTTTTGGTGCATGTCGTACAATAAAAAATACCTGTATTAAACAGCTAGCCTGGACAATTTGACAGATTATGAACAATCATGATGATGGTGTTTAAGGGTTTGCTTTATGCTAAAAGTTTTATAAATGCCATCGGGTGTTTCTGTAAGTGAATTGTTTGTTATAGTAAACAGGTTAGTACATCAAAATCAAGATAAAAACTACTTTGTTCAATAATATGCCAAATTATGCTCCTACCTTGAAATATTTGCTCAAGAAAAGCTAATGATGACATGCATGAAACATTAAATATAGTACTGCATCATCTGTCAAAATCCATACGTTTTTCAATTTCAGGTGATTAAAATTCACATAAGATGCATTGGTTGCAATGAAGTTGAATGTGTAAGAAGCAAAATTGATGGCATAGAACTTTTTATGTCTTTTGAAGAATTACGATATCATTTAAACGATATCATTTAGTAGCAATGTAGTAAAAGAAGTGATATCTGTCTTCAACATGAGACTTTTCTAATTATGTATAGTTTCTTTGTACAAAATACTATTTTAGAAAACTTGATTTTTTAAGTCATTCACTGATATTTTTTACCAAAAGACAAAAAGAAAAATTCAAAGGCATAATGTAAAATTCAAAAGTTTGTCAAGTTGTTTGAACCTAGAAAAAATTAGTATAGGTACTAGTAATTTGTAAGGACACAAGAGAAAATAGTGCAAGAAGGTTAGCATTTTTGAGAATTAATATGTTCTTCTTGACATACATTACACAAGGCCATAATATTATAAATAATGACTGTACAATAACAATTATACAACATGCTAAAAATCTTCACCTACATTATAATTATTTAAACAGGTTTGTCTTCATGCAGCAATAAGAAAAGTGTTATGTCAGAGAAACCAATCAACTCTTTTAACTATATAATCAACTCTTTTAACTAAGCGCTTCCGACATCACTACGCACGGTCTCATTATAATATTGAAATCCTCATTACCCAAAGCTGACCACGACACACTTTACGAGAACGGAATCGTAACCTTCAATGCAACAAGCCCCTAGCCAGCATATACTTACTAGAGAAAGCATAGTTTTTACTTATGTAAAAAATTGACGCTCAATATTGCAAAAACATATTGAAAGGAAAGCCGAATAATAAATTATTATGGGAAAACTGAAAATGTTACCGATACATAGGTATTTTTGAAAATCATTGTCCGTTGCCTGGCCGTTATTTTGAGCCCTGTTCTTTTTGCTTAGTTAACTCAATTTTTAACAAGGTATTGTTATCTTAATGCAGTTAAAAGGTAAGGTATGATTGTCACACATTTCTTATTAATTTGCACTCAGGCGAATGAGATGTTACTCGTTGGAAAAGAAACTGACTGCGGTCGAAGCTTGTAACTACGGTTTGGTAACAGAAGTTATTCCTCAAGCCGAAATTGAAAAAGAAATCAACAACAGAATGAAATACATGGCTGCGTTGCCGCCGAAGGTAGCACAAATCTGGACTTTACCGTTATTGCTTCGTTTCATTTAACCATACAATGCTTCTCTCCATTGCAGTCGCTCTCATTGTCCAAGAAATTATGTTGCTCAGTTGAGCTGGAGAAACTTCACGATGTGAATAATAAAGAATGCGAAGTGCTTGCTCAAAATGGCTCTCGGAGGAATGCGCGCAAGCAGTGATGACTTTTACAACGCAAATCAAAAATGTAGTTGAAACATTAAGTTGATTCTGGTTTATGAAATGTTCGATGCATTTTCTTTCTGTGTATGTTATCCAGTTTGATAAAAACCATTTCCACCAAAGTGTTAAGCGTACAAAAGCATCTGCGCAAACATCTACTTGATGTCACGTGACAACATGTTAATTAATGACACTTATTTTTAAACAACTGCATCAATTTTCAACAAATGCGCAAGAAAATAAGGTTATCGCGACTAAGAAGTCCGTTACGCCAGCAGTAAACACTGAAGTCTCAATGACTTGAACGATACAGAACGAGTGTTCGAAATTTTCCAGCAAAGTTTTTGCTATGTTTTGGAACTTGATTCAAAACGCAATTTTTCCTCCAAAGTAAAGATTTTAAAAATCGTGGTTAAATGAACGAATATGTTTTGTTATTCAACTCAAGTTACGAATGATTTACACCAACAACGCTACAAATTCCGCTGCGTAAAGGTTACAAACGGATCATTGGGGGACACAATATCCTATATGTACAACAAATATTTGCACGCGCTATAAGTCCGATCGCAAGTATACCTGGATGGTAAGCCATTCCTGTAAGCTCGTCCACCATCTTCTTACGATGCCATGTTGCTGATGTACTTTTGAAACAAATCGCGTTCCTCGTGATTTTTATCCTCAAGTTCTTGTATATTACCGTTGACCATCAACGTCTGTTTCTCGAAGGCACTACAATATTAAATATGCTGCTTTACTATTTGCTGACATGGGATTTTTTTCAAAGTTCGAAACTGTAAATGTTTTCATCATCTTCGACGTGAACGTCCATGAATAACAATAGAAATCTATTGCATTTTCAAAGGTCCCGTGTCCTCTCTCTAGTTGCTAAGCTCCGCCCACCCCCTTCCTCTCCTTTCCAATAGTGCCCAATCTCTCTCCCTCGTAAAAAATAGACACACAAACCTGTCTAGAAACTAGTGAAGATCTCGCCAAAAGTGAATTGAGCTCCTCCTCGAAATGTTTGAAAGATAAAATTTCTGCGACAATTCCGCGTTCCTTTGCCATGTCGCAGTCGAGTTTCGTGTTTCATAGAATAACAGACATTGCCTGATTTAAAGGAAATTCACCGTAAGACAAAATGAATTTTTTTTAAAGCATCTCGGTTCTTTTATAAAAACAACAATTATGCTTCACGATACACTTTTTTTAAGGTGGGTGGGGGGGGGGTTAGGGATAGGGAGTAAAGAATTTTGGGGAACTTAGATAAAGCTATTCGTAGTTTTAATTACTTTTCAATCTCACAGTTAATTTTTAACACCTCAGAACATAACACATCCTCTCAGGTTCAAGAAAAGAAAACATTTTAATGTTTATATAAAGTGATCAATAGGCGTGGATACAACTCAAATACATAACATGGCAAAATATGACCTAGTGCCCAGTTCTCCGTTTAATATAAACAAGTCACGTTTACCTGTGAATGACCAAATAAATTAGGTACAGTTAGAGAGCAACATCCAACTGGAGGATGACCCAACTCCACAAACTTCGTTTGAAAAGTTGCCTTTAAAAAACACGACGAATACGTCAACTGAAATAAAAATTACGTAATGTTGTACTGAGGAGTCACTAGGAGTCACTAAGATCAGTTCTTACCAAACTGGAAACATTGGTCTATAAACAAGAAGAAGCGTTATGAATACGTTCCGCTTTCGCGCATGTATATTTACTTTTCATAATTGGAAAGGTCGTCGTTTAATTAGATTCGTGCTCAGTTACAATTGGTTTTTTCTATGAAATTAGATTGTCCCCCCGCTATATAATTTGAATTAGAATTTTAGCAAATTGTGAAGTTGTTTCAAAGTAGTTTGCCACCTACTTCGAACTGCTGAGCACAAAGTAATTTTGCTAACTCGCAATGACTGTTCATGCGTCTATTTCTATAATACTATAGTTCATGCGACTTAAACGATCTCATGACACCGTTGAAATAAATGAAATGGTAATCGAGTTCCATCGGTTCTAATCGCTAATAAAGCGCTCGCAAGAAAAATGTTTCGTTTGATCATAGTGTGTGTGTGTCATCGTGGGGTAACTTCATATGCTGAAAAGACAGTTAAATTTTCCATGCACCTAACTCCCAAAGACTATAGCTAATGTGTCTATTTCACAAAGACTTTAGTTCATGCACCTAAAGGCTATAAAATCTATATATATGTATATTGTTCGTGCATCTTAACAATATAGTTCATGTACCTAACTCCCAAAGACTATAGTTCACAAACTTAA